CACGCCCTGCCAAGTGCGTCCGAGCAAATGTGAGTTTCATTTGCTCATCTTCGACGCGACGAGCCCTTAGGGCTCTGTCGAGTTCGACAAACCATAGTAACAGGGAGTCTTCCGGGACTCCACTGTACTTGGAGATGTCAACTTTCATGACTTCGCGACGACGCGCATGCGCCGTCCCGCCCACAGCAGCATGGAATTACTGCTGTGTTAACAGCTCTGTCTGTTGAGAGCCTTGCTGGTGAAGCAAGGCTACTTTCTCACTTTCGGCGACAAGTTCATTTTGTATGAACTTCGCTAAAGCGGCATGTTGTTGGTCTCTGTCTAGAGACTCCAACATGGCGCTAATGGCGAACTCGCCTACGGTAGAACTCATTCGTTCTACCGCACACAATTCGATGTCACTCAAATGATTAAACCCTTCACGCGTGGCGTGAAAGGTCTCTTCATCACCCAACATGTTCATGTTGGATGTTGTGGTCCTTGGAAGGACTACAAAGTGCTACCAGGTGTAACAGGGCACACCCTTGCCTGAACTTAACGCAAGGGTTTTGGTGCGCCCGACAGACGTACACAAGGCAAGCGAGGAAGCGTAGTAGACAAGGGAAAAGCAGAACTGTTATATTAATGTAATTAAGTCACTTAACTACTGTCTCTCTGTTTGACTTAAATTAATTATGCTAATCTAACTGAATGTATGACGACGTCTACTCACCACTCATTGCGCGCGTCTTGCGGCGATTGGTGGGTTGATATCGTCAAGATATCAACCAATGAACAGACTCTTTGGTCGACCCTTCAATATCACCACTTTGGTGATATTGTTCAAAGAATATTCAACTTCATATTCTTTATTGTCACATTCCTTGAAGTGACAATTCCATGTAACGGGCTGCCCCGTTACATTGATCGGGCGAGAACTGCATGCAGAGATTTGAGCGAAGCTCGCCTTGTACAGCGCAATATTTGATGTACATGGGTCTGACCTGGCAAACAAGTTGGCGCTCATGGTAATATAGAAAAGTCTGGTTGAGAAACCTTAGTGGATGGTAATGCCATTGATAGGGGGATGTAATTGCAAACAGATAACAATTTTCCGTACATTACTTCACGTGAGTTGGTGAAGTATGACCTTCTTGCCGCTAACCTGTGAAGTGAAAGCAAACAAGCCGCCAATGTGTTTCGCATTCAAGAACGGCAAAAATATTGCTGCGCTGGATATGAATAAAAATATCAGCTTCACCTGTGGTCGCGTACGAGCGTCGACTCGCGTACCCTGTGGCACAGCCATGGGCAGGATCTGTCCAGGAAAACCTTCGTTTGTGGGTGGCCATTAAGCATGCTTCTACCATTACCACAGTACATTTGGTTGGTGAAGAAGATGCTTTTGGAATTGAAGAAGAGGAGGATGTCATAGGTATAGTTACATTGAGCACCAAAGCAACATAACGTTATTTTTGTTTATGTCGGACTCTAATCATTATTCATTAGTTGTATTCTTGCTTTCCGCCTAGTATTTTCAATTTTGTTTAGTCATTTTCAGTCATTCGTGCGGTCACGTTGATTTTTCCGCTGTGAGTTTTAATTCTAAGTCATCTGATAGGTCAGACATGGGGTGTGTGGTACATATAACAAAAAGTTGTGGTACGGATAACACTGGTCAATTTATAACGTAAATGCAAAAGAAACAAAGTTATTGCTTTCTATACTAAACAGCCCTGCGATAAATGTTATGACTGCTTTTAATTACCTCGCATGTATACAAGCTGGCGTTGTATTAGACCAGAAAATGGCGACTTGGGACGTAATACGATATCCAGACTGCTGCGAATCATTAGACGGTACGCGCATCCTAATGCACAGGTTTTAGTCACCGGATTGGACGGGGTCTGTGCGTATCAAAGGGTGGGTTTGTAACAATACATCTCTTTTTTTGTAATTAATATGATGATTAAATACACGGCACTGCTGAGTGAATTCCGACACTGCTGTGACCGACTGTCGATCGTTCAGCGAGGCCAGCGCTCGGCCAGATACAAAAGTGCTGTCATTGTGTATCGTGTGCCGACAACGGCACGCACTCGAGCTGCATGCAGTTGTCGAAGTGGGCGTCGTCGGGCGATACGAACTTTGTCAGAGTATTGATGCCTGAGAACTCCTTCCACTGCTCGAGCGTTTGCTCCGTGCCCGGACCAAACTTATCCAGGTCGGTGTGATCAAAGTCATTTTTCGTGACAGGCATGTGCGGGATCGCGCGAGCGCGACGCGTTATCTTTTGCTGCATTGTGTACCGCTTGCTACAATTGCGCGTCCAAACCACCTTTTAGGTCTCGTACCAGTGGTACGCAACGCCTTCCGAGGGCGCGTAGAAGTAATAGCCCGCAGCCCAGAGCCGTGTCGCACGTGAATAAACATCGCCGTGACAAAATATAAGGTGTTTGCGGGTCATTCCGCACCTCCTTCACCTGTTTGCATTCGCCAAAGTTGAACCCACCGTCCACCTGCGATATCGATCGCGGCTTCGGCGTATCCATCTTGTCAATCCAAGCAGGACCCGGTAACTACACCATGCTTTCTCTGTAGTTTGTCTCGATCTGCGACATGCACATGAGCTGTACCAGGTCATCTACACCGTGCTCCGTCAAATGTTCAGTGGACTTTGTGTAGATCGAAATAATGGCGTTCGATTTCTCGATTGATCCCCACTGCGCGATGATCTTATCGTCCCGATCGCGCACAAAAATCGTGTGCGAGTCAATTGCTAGGCAGAAATGCATGTTCTTGATGGCCTTTTCCGTCTTGTACCGCGTAGCAGTGGGCCCCTACACCGCATCCGATTAAACACAAACTCATTCTCGGCAGCAAGTGTATCAACAGCCGCCCCCAAAGAAACACTACCAGAAGCCTCCTCAATAATTTAACGTCGCATTAACAGCGTCGATCGGAGACAGCACAAGCTGTGCTCGGTGACGGTCGTATTCCACCACGAGCTCACAAACCACGTCGGCGCACGAGCGCTCGTTCCTCGCAGGATAAATCTGATCATGAATGCTACCCTTGAGATTGTCCGGCGCTGCTGCATTGACAAATATTACCAGTAACGACTCGGAGCACCTGAGCAGGTCAAAGAAACATTTCACATTCACAAAAAGTCAGCAAATAAAGATCCGGAGGTCGACTTCAAACAGACACAAGTACCTTATTGTGTATATGTGGCACCTGCTCACCTGGTTGGGTCGCGGTAATTGGCCACCAGACGACCGTGCGACGTCCATTGAAAATTTGACCGAGTAGCTTCAAGTAGCTGCGACAGAGAAGTGACAGCTGCTGCGTTATCGTCCGGGCGCAAACGCTGCCCTGCTCAGCAACGAGAAGGACTCCTGTGGTCGTGCAGACAGTGAAATATTGTGAATAGAGGAACTCGTACAGCATCAGAACAAAACAGATGGCGGGTACGACAATGAGCAGATCAACGCGCAAGTCACATGATGCGCCTCTTTGCTTCTCTCCACGGGAGCTCACGCGGCCGTACGGCTGAATTGATACTCGCATCTCACGAGTTGTTAACGTTGTTTTGGACGCTTTCAATGTAACGGAAATGGTAATATTAGGGGTGCTTATAAGGGGTGTACCGGATAATGAGAGTGGGGGTCATAGGCATGGTTGTTTGTTGACACAAAAGAAGCCCTTATTACGGAGAGGTATGTACGAAGCAAAGAATTTATGTTTGGCATTTTTTATGTATACCTTTGATGTATTTAGTTAGGGAGGTACGGTACTTAAGGAGGAGTCTCTATCTGAGGGATGTGTATGTATCATAGGGTGGTTGTGAACCTATAATTCTCTTTTGATTAAATGTACAATGTGGAGGACATCGTGTGAGTGACGTATGCATATATATATAAATATATATGTAAACATTAACGTGGATTCTTTGCCAAGTAATGTCCAGTATCGACCAACTTATCGGTCAGAGTTAATGAGAGAGTGCTTCGGCGCACTTGCTGCTTGGAAGGTATATCAAGCATGCAAATGCGACCGGGGGTGGAGTCTATTTACAAATCATCTTAACGATACAAGCGAGATCCTATTCTTGAGTCTACACGTCGTCGCACTATTAAGCACGGCGCTGTCGCGATAGACAACATCTTGCTGCGAGAGCATCTATGTAGCTACGATTGAACAAAAATCTACGCGTAATAAGGTACCTTAATAACGACCAGCTTTCATTCGTCTTTATTACGACGCTTTATTGAGCTAAAATGAGATTGTTCCGGGCAATTGAAGTCGCGAATTATGTTCCGGTTATACGCAGCTTCACAATCAGCCTCAAGGTCTCTGTTGCACACAAATCCTCTCGCTGATCCGTGCATATTTCTCATACATATTCGCTATATGCACGCAAGCTTGCCAGATGCGCACCGCCCGAAGTTCCAGATCGTAAAGTTTCTCGCTACCGTTCTAAAGGAGGCTAGGAAACAAAGGCTCGGAACCGCGGTAGTTTGATGGCCGAATTCATCTTATGTCGAGCGAACAGGTCTTCCTATCGACAAAGAAAGTTATGGTGGTCCACGTTCTTGATAGTTCTCTTGGCTAAAGAATTGGACCCGGTACAAATCAGTGGAACGAAACTTGACGCCTATTTACACGTACGCGATCAGGTCTGCTGGAGCAGACGTGAGGATTCTGCAAATCGTCCGGTCGTGTGCACTATGTCAGCGGTTGGTCATGCGCTGCAACAGCGAGGGTGCGCCCTCAACGTTTCTCACTTCTGGATCTGCCAGCACCTGCTCATACCCAACATGCGACTACCTCGCATCTTACTTGCGGTACAATACGGGCCTATCTTGTGCTCGCTTGGAGACGACAACAAGTCATCTGCTACGTCTCATGACCCTGCTCGAACGCCCCTCAACGAATCAACAACCGAGTACATACCTATGCTTCTGGATGGTCCGTCAGCATTCGGCGCGGCTCCGTCAGTTGCAAAGTTTCATGAATCCGAGATGAATAAGACCATGCGTGGAGTCACTGAAAGCGAAGATCGGACGAGCAACCAGGTTGCAGAGCTGGTGGAATCTTCGGCTCTAAGTTTGACTGACTTGTCAAAACAACTTGGATTTCATAGTCCCTTGGAGGAGCTCATGGACGCTGTTAGCCTACCCTGTTGGCCATACATCGATGGTCCGGTAATGTGGAAAACCAAAAACTTTTGGAAATTTGCTAGAGGTGAAGATCCCATGGACGCGTCGGGAATCATGGTAGGCGAGCAACCCGTAGACGCGTCGGCACTCGCTAGAGACGAGGAACCCATCGAGGCCTCGGTATCTGCGGAAGGCAAGGAATCCGTGGACGCGTCGGGATCCGTGGAAGAAATGGAACCCATGGACGCGTCGGTACTCGCGAGTTTGCTGCAGGAAAATAAGGACCGAGCACCGGAAGATGGAAAGCTTGAACCAGAAAGTATTATCAAAACGTTCTTGCTCGTCAGGAACCCAGTGGATGTTGCGAAGGTCCTTATGTCGCTCCGTGCAATCAAGGACATGAAGGATGAGGCCGATGAGCTGCACAGACAGCTTCTTGCAGTCTACGATGTAGTACCGGGAGTGCTATCTCACGTGTGGATGAGATTAGGCTTGGATCCTGAACAGCTATTTGAGGTCCTCGACTTGCGAGGGAAAGTGGTGAAAGACGTTGCAACAGCTGCTTTTCTATCAGAGTGGTTACGATATGTTGGTATGTTTAAGAAGAAACACCCCAAAGCATTAGGCGCCATGGACGCATCAAAACTGATCTTTCACAACGAACGAGACGAAGACGTGAACGCCTTCATCAAAAATGTTGCACAAATTGGTCGTCATGAAAATCTCGCCAACGTCCTGCGTATACTTCGCCTTGTATCGAAGGGTGTTGTTCGTGAAGAGGAGAAAGTGAAAATGGATGTTCTGCCTTGGCAAAAACGCTTGAATCTTCATAAAAAAGCCCTAAAATTAGGTCAAAAAGGCCTCACCGATGTCAAGCCTTTTACGAATTTTGTACAAAAGAAAGGACCCATGGACGCGTCAGCTTTTGCGGTTTTGCTCAAGAGAAATCTTGGCCGAATTAAATCTTCATCGTATGTCAAACCTGAATTGGTTATGATATCGTTGCTCTTCGTTAGATCCCCAGCGGATGTGGCCCAGCTACTGATTTCACTTCATAAGATTGCGGACATGGAACTCATTGCGACAGGATTTCACAGACTTCTTTTCCAGAACGTAGAAAACACCAAAATGATGTGTGAAGCGTGGCTGTGTTCTGGAGTGCACCCGGCCATTCTTTTTGATAATCTGTCTATCGACTTGGCCAGGTCATATGATGGTCTACAAAGATTTATCATTGGTACGTGGTTCGAGTATATCTCGCTGTTCAATGAAATGCACCAAGGCGCATTCACTGCCGATGACGCCGTAAAACTCATGTTTCCGACCGAAGGAGCAGAAATGATGGACGCTTTTCTTGAACGAAGTGAAAGCTTCTATGGTAACAAGTGGCTTACCAAATTGTTTGAGGGTATTTCGCCTGTTATGAAGGGAAAAGAGGCAGAGAGTGCAAACGCGCATTAAGCTCGCGAATAAGGATGGTTGATCTTTAGTGACAAGCTGTACAAGGTTGTATAGATCTGTCATCGTTACTGCGCAGCAACAAATTCAATAGGCTTAGATTAACATACTCATTATGTGAACTAAGGACCTCCATCAACACACGTTCTATATTAAATTGTATCGATCAAGCGACATTCAAACATGTTATGTGTGCAGTCAGCCGCTGAAACGGCCTCTGCACTGATACTCTAATAGCGGCTCAAAAGCCTATACATTATATGTAAAGACTACATAAACGTGACTAACAAAAAAGTCAATTTTAGAAAAAGAACTATATCACCCATCTGTAGCAATTTATAAATTTTACATCGAATTGATGCCAATCAGATCATTCAGCAAACTTTTAGCCTATAGCAACTGCAACTTTCACCAACAAAGGTGCATACTATGATTTGCCTCGATGATGCTAATGGGATTGACAAAGACAGTCGACACTGCGAATTCGTGAAAAATGCATTCTAGTAGCGTTCTATGCGTTCGGCAATGTAATGTCTTAGCGGCATTGTTCATATTCAAAGACTCGTATATTTATGTTTGCCGCGATCCGTTGAACTCTATATTCTACCGAAAGTCGATTTTTTCAAATTCAAATAGGAAGCAACCTTGATAGAATTCTGGTATACTTCCTATTAATGCAACCTCTTCGCTCGTGCTAATGAACCTAAAAGCCATACATCATAGCGACGTCAAGGCACACATAACAGATGTCTTGTGTGATCTAACTTAAGCCCAGAAGTAAATCTGCTGAAATGTACCATTTTTTTGGCAAACATATATCATAATGTATACAATTATATTCGTATTTGCATTTGATCGGTGAAATTTTAAATGTTAACATATGTACAATTTACACGTACTTTTATCTCATTGGTATTATACATGATTGTTAAGCAATGTATTTTAGCATAAATAACCAGAATTACCCTTTTACATACTGCATGATTTCTGTCTGACCAAATGCATTATCAATCAGCAAGGCATTGAGTTGTACCGCTTGTATGAGCATCACTACATCTGCGCCCATTCATGTTTCACTAGCTCCGTCTCACAGTCACTTCGCTATATGATTATAAGCGAAGTTTCCGTACTCCTATCTATAACACTTGACCTCTAAGTTTCAGTCTGTTTATATGGTCAAATCCGACTCAAAGCATCATAAAATTTCAATACTATGACTTTAAGAGTCAACGTGCCTTTGGAGCACCAATTTAGATCTTTAAGTCAACCACCTCATTAATGTTCCATTCCTTTTTTAGGGACAAAAGATTCCGTATAGTCACGTACAAATAGCAATTAGTCCCTCAGAGCACACGCTTTTAAAAAGACATCCAGACATTTTTATCAAATACATCTTAATGAGGCACGTGCACTTATATATTTATATGCGTTTATAAAATCTCTTAAGCATTTTAATCGATGCAGATGGCGACAAACATTAGGGACCCTCTACAAAGATGTTAAAGCGCCTATGTGATGTGCTGAAACTTTTTATGGTTCCGAAGGAACGTCCTTTAAATTATGATTGAATTTCAAGTATGATTACATGGGGCGAGCACTTGTTTGGCTAAAAAAACGATTTATTGTCTTATGACAAATGAGAAAAACCACACTTACAAGGTATACGTTCGTAACGTATGTCTGGCGTAAAATTTGCGAAGACTGCGTTTTTGCTGCAGAGTGAAGACAAGTAGGTGTGCAACGAAGAATGCATCATTATCTTCTGCCATGGATAGCTTGCTCTAGGTAACGTTTATAATCTACCATTGCCTAGCTGAGGTGTGCACAAATCTGTAATTTTAATTAATGTGATCCCTCGCGCAATCTCAGCCACATATGCAAATATGCACTTTATCGTATACGCAGTAGCTATTGAAATTCAGACTATCTACGTGTTCGAGAAACTTGTAATAGATATAGGAGTCGCTAGGGGTAATCTTCGTCATGTAGAGCTAGCTATCTGCTTAAGCCACAGCAACCGATTACATAATTTTAAGGAGAAGAATCGGTCGCACTGGACGGTTTTAATTGACCTCGCGGTCCGCGGCCTCGTCCAATAATAGCTGAGCTAAATACTTATACGCTTTTAAGTATATTCCGCAAGTAATTCGATCCAAACCTAATCTCCTCATCATATTTCTCGGCTGGAAGTTCCATGGAGCCATACCACTGTCTATATAGTGATCATAAGAAACCCTAAATTTACAACACAATCAAAAAAAAGAGTGCCGCCCATCATTTAAAAACCATTGAAAGAAAAGCATCAAGTTGAAAGGTCTAGGATGATAAAATGATTTATGTAATTCGGCACCCGAAACGTCAAAGTTCAAGCTTTATTTGATTTTTGTTTAGTAGTGGTGGCGAAAACAGGCTACTAAATGCGCGTGAAATGACCGAGAAATTTTGGGATAGCGCAGATGGCTAATCTAAGACCGCTTTTTGGATCAGAAAGAAGATAAAGAAATGGTAGAGAATGATACTGAAATCAACACTGCTACTTTGAAAAATAGGTCCAACACGTTTCCTAAACTCAGAATGACAGGAAATCATCTATCGTCAATTTTTTCATAGAGTGCCACATACTCATCCTATATATACGAGCTAAGATTGTATAAATAAAGATACGCCGATATACCAGCCATGATATATATATGTAAAGTTTTCATTTCAGTACCATGAATGTTGGAATATGTAGCGATTGAGCATCTATGTGCAAGTATCAAGTAGGTGCTACTATATAAGTGCGCTAGATTGTTAGCGGTTGAGTATGGCACATGTGTATATGGAGGACCGCCTTGTTTGCAGTACGAGTTTGGCGCCATCTCAAAAATTATAAAAATATTATGAACTAATATGTCAGCGATCTCTTACATTCAGTCGAATTCCTATTGTGGCTCATGATGGACAAAATGTGCGATGCCTTGACTTAATTGCATCATTTTGGATATTAGAGATGTACGGACAAAATAAATTTTAGGCCAACTACTGTGGAAGAAACGACACGAATGTAGTAGTTTAGAAACGTTTTGGTGCACCTAAGTCGGCGTAATTAATCTCACATGATAACTTGACGTCAAGTGTTCCAAAGCCAAAACGATTGGTAATTGCGCGAATTTTACTCGCGTTACGCATGATTATTGGCGTCCGTTCAAATTTCGCATGCATAGAATATTAGTGCAAATATTTATAATTATCTCCACCAATTTAAACGTATGGCTTAACTTCGAAAGTCAGCCTAAAGCACTCCTCATTACCACAATTTACCTGTACGTATGAAGAAATATCATCTTGTACATTAACAACATGGGGCGATAGCGGAAAATAGTTGTAAATGACGGCCAAAAGTACATATTATGGAGAGTCGTAATTCTAAAAGATTACATCAATACATTTTTTCGCGACTGTCTCCACTGCATCCTTCTTTAAAAACATATCAGAAAGAATTTTTAATTAATTTTTCCGAAAAAAATATTTGTCGGTGCTTTTTGCTCATCAGGTATAGGCTATAATACGAAAAGAACTATTAGTAGATGCCTGGCACCAGTACTAATTGAAGGGCAATGAAATTGTACGGCCGTTAAAAACTTTAAGCTTAAGTATTATTTTTACGAGCGTTCTTCGTCTTCATTTGTACTTGTGGATTTACGGCAAGTAAATATACACGAGGCATATTGCGAACAACTCTTCACGACTTTATAACTATCGCCTGAACGTCGTCGAACGCATCCAATAATTGAGCTTGAATGGCGTAATCAGCAACCAAGAAGACATGAAGGGGTGCATCGATAGCTTATATTCCAGACGTCAGAGGCTGACCTCAAAAAATAACGCACGATGATGCCGCGCGATCGCATCACCAACTATGCAAATAATTTTACTGGGATGTATAAGATAATTGATTATTTCTGCGTATAAGACATGTGAGCGTAAGTCTAAGCGATATGATCCAGATTGGCAGGATAAGATATAAATTTTTTTACTGATTTCAACCCTTAGTAAGTATAAGTACCGTCCTCATCGTGATTACCAGTCTCTGATCTAAGCCCTTACGCCCTAAGATCGTAATGTTTGCGATGTGACATCGCTTCAATAAATTTGTTAAATCTCCAGTATATAAATACAGCATAATTCTTCTGCTAGCGTAGAATGACAAAAAACGTAAAATAAGATTTGCGAATTCAAAGGTTCTTGATGTTGGGACGAAATGAAGCTTACTCACAATTGATTATTAGTTTCACGATAAGGACATGGAAAATGTGTATATGCAATCATCAAAATTCGCGATACGAGAACAGATCGTGCTTTAGTTATACTTAAATTAGCAAACGGTGGGCAGGGCCGGTCCCACATCTGGTCGAATCACGTCCACTGGACTAGTGGACAGAGCATTAAATCAAATAAGGAAGGATATGACCCGCAACTTCGATCAAAGTATGACGGACGAATGGTTTAAGTATTGTAGCTTTGTTTACAGTCAAATGAACGATTACTATAAAGATTATATAGAAATTCGCGATCTAGGACACAATCTTGACTTAAGTGTAGATCAAGCATAAATGAACGATTCGTATTCCACGATCGGCAACGCTATCGCGATGAAGGAGCTACCGAGATCGTGATCGACGATCAGGTATGCGATGGCGATCAAGCTAGTGTGGATTAAACTACAGGATCTGAGACCTGAAAGGTTATAGCGATCGGACAAGTATATCAGGTGTGTACCGCACAAATGCAAGAGTGCGATCTTTTGGAGAGAGCGATAAGTGGCATGTAATGTCTGTGATATGGGGATAGGGAATGGATCGTTGGGCTTTATTAGTTAATGTTAATTAGAGTTTAAAAAGGAATTAATGACATGTGTCGTCTCTTTCGGGATGGATGGTTTGGCCGAACGAATTTACAGGATACGCTACATCTGCACAAAAGTCGCACCTGGATCGTTTAGCCAGGTGCGTTTAAGGTTT